TCCCCCCCGGGAGCCTTTGCACGTTGCCGCAGCAGACCCGGCCTACGTCAGCATCAGCACGTAAGCTTTGAAGAAAATTTTCATTCTCGATCCCAGTTGCAGCCGCCAATTGTTCGTATTGTCACACCTCAGCTTGAGCACGGGGGCCTCAATCGGATGTCAGCGGAGCGGTGAAGAAACAACAAACAGGGAACTATTACGAGGGATGAAGCTCTGTGTGACCGCGCCTGTACTATTTCTTTTAGCCTCATCGTTACGCCGTGGAGAAGAGCACAGCCTTATCAACCAACTCATTGTGTATCTCACATATTCTTACTCCTGAACCCCGTATGACATCGTACACATGCCGCAGGACTGTTGTGTACTTGACAGCAACCAGAGCTTGTCATATACTTGAATTCCCCTCTTTCCGCTTCATAGACTTCACCTCATGGCACCAAATTATCTGGTTACATGTCAGACATGCCAAGTTCGCCCAAACTTCCATGGTCAGCTACTTGCAGTGTGCACACTACATCGATGTTACTGGCTTGTAACTATTAGCTTGACGAGGCCGCGAAAGCGGTCTCGATTGAATCATCGAGGCATAACTAGTTTATTCTCCGTTGTAGCCGGTTCACGTATCAATATGTCCGAGCAGCTCAGTGCAGATGCTGTTTCAGTGAAATGCCCGCCACATTATTCCCCGCTGAGCGTGCTTCTTTTGCGTGGCAAATGTATCTTCAGGCTGCTGCCTCGTCTTTTTGCAACTCGTAACATAGATTTTTGCTTCAGACAGAATTTAGCTCCTCTGAGTGGGTATCAGGTTACCAAAGACAGCCTTAATCAAGTGGTCCTTGCTCTCAATGTTCTTTGGGCGGTTGTTCGTGGCTGGGAGTGTAAGGCAAAACGAAGCCGTCCAGGTGGGGCATTTTCACAGTGGAAAATGCTTTCAAGGCAGGCAGCGCTCTGCTGTCCCTGCAATCCCGTGCGCCCCTGCAGCCACTACAACTCGTTAGATCCTTCGCACTCTCGAGCCACTCTAGACACTAGACGTGGTAATGTGCTAGTTACAATAGCTTCCATACCACTGACGATCTGCTGTCCCGTCACTCCTGCTCCTGTTCCGTCTTTCACGCTGGTCCAAGGTACCTAGCTTCCATGGTCCTTGTTATTCAAGAAATACTACATAAGCGATGATTCCAGTAGTAGGTTTGCTGCAGGCTGGCGCATCCGAAGTATGAGCATCGGTACCCATCTCAAGTTAGTACAAGCAGGGACGGGATACAATGCAAACTGGCAGTTCCGCAGCCTGTCGGGCTCACAGTACCCTTGTTTATCAAAATGCCTCCAGGGATTACAAAGCCCAATTTGGCACCGTCCAGTGCAGAGCCTGACGGCGCATGTGGCGCTTCATGGGTGCATGATCGTCAATTCAAGGGCCTTGTCGGCCATGTTGCAGGCTACCAGCCCTACTTTTGCAGCCAGTTGTATTACATGCAACAAGGATCAAAACAAACGTAGACCTCGAGTAGCTTAAATAGAGCCTTATGATTGGACGCTTCCCGCCACCAGATGCTGGTAACGAGACGCAAACTACAGCCCAAATGGTGGAGACCTCCGGGGAAACGGAAAACCCTTGTCCATGCAAGATCCCAGTCACTACCTCAACTATTGGGTACTTTGCAGCCGCCTCAGGGTACCTCCTTTTGTGACGTTTCTGCAGGACGGTGATGACTTCTCTTTGCGTTTCACATGCTTCGCTCGATGATACTGATCTGTCGTATTCATGCCCAAACTAGCTTCAGTTGGGCATTTCTAAGTAGCGGTGTGCTCAATATGTAGCAATGCTACTTCCTACCTAGTAATCAGCCTAGGAGTGTCTACTACATCACCGAATATCTCGAACCCTGCCGTCTCTGCGTTGTTTCCCCTTCGAATATGAGCAAACCTATAATGTTTCATAGTCCAAAAGCTTGCTGGTTCATCAGCATTAGACGGGGTTCTTGAAAGCAGTGTCTTGGCCACTTGCCATGCATCACACAGCTGCACAATAGACTCAAATTCCAGAGTTTGTACGGCCTCGAAGATCATGATCTATCTCAAGGCGCCTGAAACTCTGTTGTTTCACAAATCCAGCTACAGCTTGATAGTTGTCACTGGTTCTGAGGCCCGCCCGCACTTCGGGCCTCAGCTGCGCCTCTAAGTTAAGGCCGCAGGATCCTGGGACATAGAAATTTCGTGCTTGTGGACTCTTTGCAAGGTAGGCCTTTGTGAATTGCGAGCTTCTTGATGCATCATAATCGGGACTTATGACACGGCCTATCCTAAAACCCCAGGAACTGCCACAGGGATATGACTCCGCGCCTATCGGATCGCTTCCGAATGGTTAGTGAACGGTAAGAGTTGAAAAGTGACTCGTCTGGACCTGGGTTGCTGCGCACAGACGCTTGTTATTGACCGATCACCTACCTGCCTTCCACTGGTAGACCCTTGACTCACACATGGAGCCGCGCCGCTGGATCTCTTCCAGTCGCCGAAGGTGTGAGCTAACTTGAGCCGTTACATTGCGCCTTGATCCCAGGAAGATCGCTGAACCCTGCTTCACGTCCCATAGCTACCACTAAGGCGTCGTGTACTTGGCAGTTGCAAACATACATCTCCCATTGTTCTGACGTATTAAAGGACCCTTCGTTCCACATGAAATAAGAAGACATATGCACTGCACCTCGGCCATAACAATTTGTTGAATCGGCTGGGTTTCTAACATGCCTCCAAACGAAAACCAGAACGAAGCAACAAGTGGTCAAGAACTTGAGAACGAGTTGGCTCAAGAAGTCAATGATTTCAAGGAAAATGGGGATAGTCTTGGATTCGCCTGTGTAAGATCTACTCTACTTGCTTTCCCATAAAATCATTCGCTAACTGGAACGAGTCCGTGCACCAGCATGTCGCTTACGCTGGATGGTTCAACCGAGGATGCCATTGTGGAGCAGAAATTACCAAGATACTTGTACAGAGGAAAAGTCGAATATGCACTAGTGGGAGAATCACTGTAACGACGTGGACCAAAAATGAACATGGCGAATGGATCATGGGAGAAGGAAACGAATGGCAAAAATACTCGAAGCGCGTGTACTTCAGATTAGCAACTTAGTGGGAAAGGTTAGTTGGTTTGAGGGCAAACCTCGATGAGTTTCACAACCCGTGGCAGATTCAGGGGAAACTGTGGTAAAACCTGTGGTAAAACCTGGTGGATCTTCTGAATGTCACTTCTATTGCTGAGAGCTTTTCACGGTACTGTATGACCCATAACACTGGAAGTTCTCTATCACGAATTTAAACAATACAGCACTCATGCGAGCCGGCATACCAAGAGTTAGTGATTAATATGAAGCTCGACTGCTTCAATGATGTAATTCTTATCTTAAACAAGCAACGACCCAGCTCTCAGCAGCCGGCTCTGTAAATCTCTTCCGTCAGCCCATTCGAAAGGTTTCCAGTCGATACTTGCAACATACCAAGCCTACATCACCTGCTGTGCAGTACATTATCCGACCCATCTATCTCTTCGAGTGGCCGAATCCTCCTGTTGGAGATAGGTAGCTATTATGCCGTGAACCGATGTTGGTACACCTATTTTTCAGCCCAGAGCCTTTGCTCGCTGCCTTGTTACGAGTGAATGATCTACGTCAACATCAGGCTACCACATCCAAGAAAGATTTCGTATTCGATCTCAATTGCATCTGCCAATTGTTAACATTGTTACACCTGGTCCCTAGTAATGGGGCCTCAGTTATAAATCAGCATGAAGCTGTGAAAGCCAGCAACAAGAACGGGAGATGAGACTCTGCTGTCCGACCTGTTTCGTGCCTTTTGGTTGCCTTGCCGTCGAACCCTTAGATGGAAATCCTATCACAAGAACGTGAGCCTGGCCCTTTCGTGATCTCCTCGCACAAATATTGAGGTACATGTACCCTTCTCGTCTCCGACCCTGCTTCACCATTTATTACTAAATATCCATCCATGACAATAGGTCATTTGTTCCTTACCACATCATGTGGGATTGACTCCTGATTGTCTATTTTGGCTCTCTCTACGACAAGTGGTACCGAACTATACTTGGGTCCTTTTCAACAATACTTGGTTATTCTTATAGCATATCAAGATACACGGGTACAGCTCTTCAGAGGAGTCGGACGACGCTCGTCGGCTTCATGCCCAACCTACCACCACCAACAACGACCAGAAGAAAAAGAAAAAGAAGAAGCTCCCGTCTCAAAAGAGCATTAATCGCGTCTAGAAGAAGTTCTCCCAGCGCAAGTTTCACAAGGATCTCGCCGTCCTTCCATTCGACCCCGTGCAACCTCCTGTGTCAATTGACCCGTTCATCTATTGTACAAGTGATTTCGATTTGCCACTACGTCTCGGCGGTGTCGAACATGCGGTTATTGGATCACTTTTGTAAAGTCTTGTTTAGCAGAAGCTTGTCGAAAGGCGTACCTCGTTACCCCAAACACCAAATGCAGGTGTTATATCTTCCTCTCAATAGCTCATGGGCAAAAGCCGAGTTTTTAGGCTACGTCATGTTGCTCCCATTGCCCCGCACGACCCCGCGTCTTTTGACGCGGCGTTCTGAAGCCGTGGAGGGGACGAAAAGTAACACGTACCAATTTATACATTAGGTGTAGCCTACACATTAAGAGTAACCATAACACGCGCTGGGAATGCTATGCTCCATCGCTAAGCTGAAGTGTTCGGAGTATTTCTCCACTTGTATGCTAGGTGTGAGCCGCTCACAAGGTAAGAGATGAGTTCGGCGGGATTCTCGTAGCGCTGTTCGGCTATTTCGTGGTGTGGCATCCAGAAGCTGGTACTAATCGAGTGACCAGATCATTTCTATTCATTTTTGAAAGGCACACGGTTCTTGTATTATATATGAAGCGGTAGTAATACTTATTCGTAAACGCGTTTTGATTCAGTCGCTGGCCAAATGTTATCGATATAGTCTGATCAGGTCACCTATGGTCTCGATACAGCTCAAGCCAGGGTGAACAGCAAGGCGCAATCTGAGTTCAATTCTAGACAGGTCATTGTAAATGGTGCATGACCATTACGTGCCAGACCGAGTACTGGCTTGAGGCTTGTAGCCATCTACTGGGTAAGTTGTACGCTGGCTTTGGCAATCGAATCTCGAGCCACTAAAGGGAATGTCGAAATCACGCCGTCTTCTCAACACTTTTTCTGTCGGTGTCGGTTGCTTGACAAGGCAGGGTGGAAATGGACAAATTGAACCAAACATGGATACCACAATGGAGAGCGTAGGCCCAGCCTTGTTAAGCAGCGACCTGAACACCCTGACGACCAAGTTGGGAGAACTACATCGAGAAGATCGAAGCCACTGCTCGTCAATGAGAGGATGACGCGCGCGGGCGAGATCACAGCTGTTCGCATGAAATGTTATGGTCGGGCGTTTTAAATCGAGAAGACTACCCTTGGCCGTCCCGGGAACACATTTCTGCCTACAATATCACCAACAGAAATTGCGCCTTGGTCTTCGGACCTGACGCCCATTGACCCTAGTCCTTCGCGCCGCTCCGTCTAACTGGCGTGGATGTGTCTGGTGGACTAGGCGCTGGGCCATTGCCCATTGTCGATGCCTCAACCTGTCGTCCCTCCTCGGCGGCCGCTCGTCAATCTGGCCCTTGGTAATTTGGCGTGTCCTTCTACGGAGCAATGCTGGCGACCGGTCAACAATCCTGTAGATGGTGCGTGCATAGTTTTGCGACAGGCGAGTATTCCGATAATGCCTATCGCTCGCTTATTTTCCAAGATTTGACGCAATGCCGATTCAAGTTCTGAGTCCAATCCGGTCGCAGCAGGTCGAGATCTCGTCGATGGTCAGGCGTCCGTCCTGGTGTTGCTGGGGTCTCCCCGGTAAACATTTCCTCGGCGACGTCGCTGAGGCCTTCGGAGGGGGTCGTTTGAGTGTGTTCTCGTTTGCTATCTATTAGGTGTTGAGCACATTTGTTCCGAAAGCTGACTAGGAGATTCCAATTCTCGAAAGCGGGGTGTTTGGGAGGAAAAGATTCGCAGAGCTTACTGTGAAGGTGGCCGTCTGCTCTGCTAGTCACGAAAAGTCAGGCCACGGCGTCAGCTTTTTAGGACACCACTTGCCACACGGATCTGAGCCTCTCGAAGCTAGCATTGGATCTGTTTCGGAGAAAAAGCGAGAGAAACCCACAATGTATTCGTCCACTGTCGCCAGTCGGGCTTACTGGTGCTGGGGCGCGCTGTGGTTCCATCTTGGCCAATAACGCGCCTCCTTCGCATTCTACTAAGGTTCTCGCACAGGCTCTCTCGAACAGTTCGTTTACGGCGATTCGTCCGTGATGTATGCTATTGTTGTTGTGACAAGGAGAGGTTGTACAGAGCGGATGTTGGCAAAGAAATGTACGTTTGTGCTACGAAGCTTGATCTGGCTGAAATGTGGCTCCAGGCATTCTAGAGTAACGTGGTCAAGGTTATTTGTCAGCATGCGGGGCTCCATGATAACTCGCGGCTCGCCCCTCCCCCACTCAATCTATTCCACCGATTTACTCCGTAGTGAGATCTCAGAAATCCCATGGTCAGTGGCAGCAAGAGCTTAACTCTTTTCGCATCCACTCCATGCATCCCTGAATTCGTGCATCCAATGAAGGTCGAGGTGAGACAGACATTTCGCTGCAGGCGCCTCGAAATGGCAGCATGAATGCCCGATCGATCTGATTTCTCTCTGGTCATGCCTCAAATCTTCTAGCCTACTTGAGTCTAGTTCGGGCTTTTTCCCCCTGGTGAATTCCTGGTAATTGGTATGTTTTAGAGCCATCGCGCGATGCTGTATTTTTAGTCAGAAGTGATGGGATCTTGGCGATGGAGGTTAGCGGGGAATTCGGTAAGTGAGTGAGTGAGATGGGTTTTTGAGTGTAAGACGCCGCATTTGAGTCAATGACAAATTTTGCGACGGGGGAGACACAGCATATAAAAATTTTACACGCATGAAAGACATTGAATGCACTGAATCTTACAGATCGACGAAAAATGAAATATGTTTGCATCTCTTATGTATGGTCCATGACATACTGATGAAAGTCTATAAGCAACGGGGAACTAATGGGCAGAGACCGGAGGAGGTAACGCACCCTCTACCGACTATTGATACAAAAGGGAGAGAGGTCCAACACCTGATGGACATTCGCCCAAAAGAAACTCAAGCCGATGATCACACTCATGTGGACGTTCGGGCGACGCTTTTAAAGACTGAAACATCAACGCCCATGTTAACGTCCTTCAAATCTAAAAACCCCAGGATAGTTCACGACCTAAAGAAGAAGGGCCACAAGAAGAAGGCAGAAGGACCCAAACCATACGTAGGGCTTTTTGAAGCCGACCTGAAGACTCAATGCACCCCCCCAGTGTGCGAGATCCGTGATCTACGTATAAACGGAGGAGCTGACGATGATACGTGGACTGAAGAAGTCCATTGCCTACTGTTTGGTGGTCTTGTGATGTGAAGCTACGGGGACAAATCGGGAACTGTCGTTCGGGGCTTGGGAACCGTCGAAAGATTCGAAGGTGAACCTGCCGAGAGTTTCAGGAGTCGAGACATAATTAGTTGTGTGACTATTTTGCTCCTCTGCAAAGATCTGTTTGGCAGATTTTGAGCTAGCCTAGATATCATTGCCGCCTCCTATTCCACAAGAGGACGTCATCTACTGTCATACCGCAGCTATGCCCGGCTAACAGGGCTCGGCGGACAGCCGACGCGTTCGTCGCGCAAACGCCCTACTTCGCCATTGTTATTGAAACAAGGCCAGCTGTCCACAAGTATCCCGTTTTGATCCTCATTCGCTATCTATGACCTAAATTGCTTGCTTTCTGTTAAAGAAATCCGGACTCTCCGTTCCTTGTTCCTCAGGATTCTCATCCACTTCCTGTTGCTTCCAAGAATCTATCCTTCGTGACTTCGTGCCAAGGCTCGATCGGTGCTCACGCACCATGTTGCGCGACCATGATTAATACAGTCTTCCCCTGGCCGTCGACTTTGTCTATAAGATGGCCTCCCTTGTTAACCCCCCAAGGCTCTTCGAGTACATCAAATGACATTTCTTTCTGTTCTTGTTGCCTTCAGCTGGGTTCCTATGTGGCCATGTATTCGTCCTCTGTACATGTATCGTTGCTCTTGATGGTGGCAGTAGCAGGCAACAACGAGCCCCATGTAGTGCGATGCTCCGTTGGCTCCGAGGTGCCGGATTTCCGAGTACGAAAGTCCCTGCGCGGTTTCCTCAGACGTTGCCATGTAACGAAGGGGGACCAATCCCTCGTCACCATGTTTCGGGGGCGACAGTGGACAAGTCTGTCTGATCTGTAGTGTTGTTTGGCATTGCTTGTAGCGTGCCTAATGTCTGGTGCTCCGCCGCGTGGGGGCATGATACTGTTCTGTCCGACAACTCGCCGTGACGGGACGTCGCGAGCGTTGTCGAAATGGGCCGACCGGCAAAGACCCATCCATATGTGACTGTATGTTTTGTTTGGAAGCTATTGTTGGGGGGGATCGGGCTTCGTCGTCGTACTATACGGGCTGCGTGGTTGTTCAGCTATGGTCGCCATCGTTTGCGGATACGTGGTTTTCGTGACATGTCCTCGTTATTTCGCGCTCGTTTCCCGCCCGCAATCATACCCCGACCTCTGCGGCCATCAAGACATCCGGGGGAAGATGAAATGACCCGTGAAAGCCATTACGACCAGGAGCGGGAGTGTCGTGTGCAATGGGCAGCTTTAGTTTCAAAATTCGATCTCGCTGTCTGATGATGTTTTTTCAATCTACTCCATACACATGATGTATGGTTCATACGCTCTTTTGGCACGCAGTCACGTGCAACCGCGACCCACGTTAAGGTACCTTAGCTACGTAATTACCCGTACTCATCAAAGTACCTAGTACCTAGGTGCATATAGCGACGCCCAGGGAGTTGAGGTAGGCAGATACAGACGAGGAACGTAGGGCAAAAAGGCGTGCGGCAGCCTAAAATGCAGGGTAGCACAGTTCAGGACTAATGCACGGCGGACACGCTTGTACCTTTGAACATTACAGTAATGTCCCGAGCGGAGTGGAGGTTGGAGGAGCAGCGCGTCTCAATGGTGATGACGGCCTATGTGCACTGATTCGCTTGCTGCCTACAGTACGTGCACGCGGACTGGGCTCGCAAACGGAAAGGGAGAGCGACGTGAGTAGTTGGACAGTTCCCCTTCGCCGGAGAGGGATCAATCGTGCCAAGGACACACGATGTACGTAACGAACACTTGGCTGCTCATTGGCCATGCACTGACACATTGAGATCTTTCGCGCGGAGAATTGGCCCCCATTGCCCCCCATTGGCCCCTGACGGCCCTTGCCAATGTATGTAGATTGTAGGCAACCATCAGTCAGGTTACGGTTTGGCATGGGATCCATAGCACTCCATTACAGGAAGCTCATTGGCTGCCCAGCTGCTCGTTCCGCTAACGCGATGCATTTTTAAGCTGTGTGCGAACCATTCGCGCTGTCCGCGAGGCTCCCAGAGCGTCGCGGATCAAGAAACCAGATAAGTAACGCGGGCAATCGCTTGGATCACTCGGGTGTCTGTGACGCTCACTTATTCCTTTCAATCACCTCCAACGCTATAAAATACTTGAGGTATGCCACTTGCGCGATTTCAACTCTTGAACGGCGGGCACCAAAAAATACACACTTTTTTTCTTTCATTAATTCTACGACCAGAGGCCCATCACCCGTCTTGTCTTCGAAGGCCGTGGCATGATCTCGAATTACCGTCGACCTCCATTCTACCTTCTCCATTCATTCAACCATGGCTGGGGCAGAACCAGCAGTCCGTGATGCCGATGGGCCAGCTGTTCAGAAGGGACCAACAATTGTGTCGTCCATCATGTACGAAAAGAACGAGCTCAAGAAGGAGCTCGAAGAAATGAAGCAGAAGAGCTCAGCCGACGCTTGGCTTATAGAAGAGCTCAATAAGGACATGCAGAAAATGAAAGAAAAGGCAGGGTCACGACATTATGAGCTTATCATGGCGCGAGAGGGGTTCGAAACCGCCATGCGGGATAAAGAAGAGATAATTTCTCAATTTCGTGGCATGCAAGTGCGCATAGATGAACTGAACGACGTCACCCGCAACCTCGACGTTCGCTGTTGCATTGCTGACCAGGCGATGTTCGGCTACATGCGGCACATCGGGTACCTGGAGAGAGAAAATGATATCTTGAGGGGCTCGATCGAACACAGGGCCAACGCGTCGGGAGCGATGGCCGCGGAAATGACGGATCTGAAGCTGCTTATGACCAGTTATCAGAACGAGCTGGAGACCACGAAATGTCTCAACCAGTCGCTGGATCAAAACGTCTGCCAGCTTTCGGACAAGACGCAGGACATGAGGGCCAAGCTGAAGAAGGCCAGGTCCCACGCGACGACCATGCGTATAAAAAAGAAAAGCCTCCAGAGAGCCCTCGCCGTCGCCAAGGGAAAGCTGATCAGTCTAGAGACGCAGGAGCCCTACGACAATCGCGCTCGCAAAGAGACTGAAAAGGACCTGTTCTTGGTCAAAGAGAAACTAAAGGATACCAAAAAGCAAAGAAGGCCTGGCCAAACCAAGGGTAAGGTCACGGCGCAGGATGAGGCAGTTATGGCCGCCATGGAGAAGGGCCTAGAGGACGAGATTGAGCGCCTCACAAGGTCACTCGAGGAAAAGGACAAAGAAATACAAAAGCGGGAGACCAAGATGGAAGAACTGCGAGCAAGAATCAAGAGCAACGCGGATGAGCAGGAAAGTATACAACCCGAGGAAAATGAGCATGAATCGGGTAGTCGAACCGTCGTCGCGATCGAGGACACCGAGGCCAAGGAATACTCCAAAATCGACGAATGGTATGTGGAGGTGAGCGCGCCAGACGACGAGCTGGCGAGGCTGCGAGAGGAGCTGCAAGACGCGCGGGAGGAGATAGGCCAACTGAAGAAGACAGTCTCGGGCCTAAATAAGGTCATAAATGATCAAAAAATTGAGATCCGGCGACGGCGGCAGAATGAGACGACGCTGCAGGCCGAGGCGGATCGGCAAGGAACCATAGCGGCCGAGAGCCAGGTTAAGCTGCAGAAAATGGGGTGCCAGGTGCTCGAGCTCGAGCGGATGCAGACGCGTGCCAACCTCAAGTTGATCGGGAGCGGCATCGTTGTAATAGAGGCGCTGGTCCGCGACCGGACCCTGCTGGTGTAGCACGTGCTTGAGACGGTGGCCGGCCGGCTGGACAAAATCGACAGCGCGACCTCGGCGAACTGCGCCTTGGACGAGATCGATGGCTTCCTCGAGAACGTCGCCGGCCACACGATGGGCTGCATAGAGCAGGCTAGGCAAGACGCCTCCGCCATCCAAGGCGTGGTGCGCAATATGAGGTACCTGCTACCCAGCCCGGCCGACAAGAACGACACGGGCGACGTGGCCCGCCTTTTCGGTGAGGTTCAGATGTTTACGACGGACGTCAAGGGGCTGAGGGAAGGCATCAAGCTGGAGCTGGCCGCCTCGGGCGTGGGCGCAATCGCCGGCGACGGTGGGGCCATACAAAAGAAATCGAAACAAAAGGGAGCCCCCCGAGATCGACGCTTATGGCTAGGTTTCTAGCCGGCTGTGCTCGTCTTTTCCTCAGACCTGCCCAAGCCAGAGAGAGAAAAGATGACATATGTCGTGGATATTCTGGGCCAGCTAATCGTGGCCATGGTCTGCTTCTGGATCGTCGACTGCCTGCGCGTCTCGTTCAATATCAGCGACAACTGGGCCAATTTTCAGCGCGCGTGCGTCTGCACCGCCATTTATTATTATTACTTTATTATCGCAGTGCAATCTGCCCAATCCACCAAAAGGCGCCGGCGCACTACCCGGGAGCGGGAGCACGCCGCCACCAAGACAGGACTGCTGACCCACAGATGAAAAACGGGCAAGCAATGACAGTCACGGCGCTAATGTACTGTACAAGTTAGTAGTGTGGAAGTAAGCCACAGACAGAGCGGCTGTATTTTAAAGTAGATACTGCTATTTATAATACTTTTAAAGGCTATAGTGCTCTAGGCCTAGTTAGCCTTAGCATTTAACTATAAGATAACTTTTTAATAGTATATTAATATATATATAAATTAGACTTTTTATTATAATTATTATAAACTTATTAGCTTTTAATAAAAAATTTATTATAAATATAATAAAAAAATTAATATTTTTTAATATTAAATATTAAATATTAATTTTAATTTAATAATATTTATTATTTTTAAAATATTAATTAAAAAGAAATTATTT